GGACTGGGACCTGTTCATATACGTTCTTGGCAGATGATCCAGAAGTGGTTTGCCATTGCCTTCTTCTGTGTGTGAATGGAGTAATTGTTGGGATGCCATGGAGAAACCGGGGAAGCCCCCGGAGGAAAACTCCGTGTTGCCTAGACCACAGCCTTGCCCAACACAAGTTATAAATTCTGGCACCGCCGGGGTAGCTAATGTTATATTAATATTAATAATGAATAATGAACTGGACAGGATATGGAAAGAAGTACTGTGGTCTAGTTTGGAGAGACTGAGGAAATCCATAAAAACCTTAGTCAGCCAATTTCTGAGTCAAGATTTGAATCCACAAGCTCCCGAATACAAAACAGGAGTTTGAAGCCAAATAATCAGTCCACAAAACCACACATTATTTCTCTGAGCTCTATTTCATGATGAACATCCCATCTATGCCTAGGTATCCTAAAATGTCCCTTCCTTTCAGCTTTCTGACTAAAAAAGTCAAAGTTAATGAATAAGAAAATGCATAAGCAAAAAAAAGAGGTAATTTATAATATGATAAAGTTTATAGAAAATTAAGGCAAAGCATATGTGCTTACAAGTACTGTTCAACATATGCACAGAGGAGCAGGAGAAACAACAGGAGTCCGTCTATTTACCGTTGAGAACATAAAAAACGAATGTGCTCTAGGGTTGCCCCACCTCAGAAATGGATTCTGGACAAGCAATGCAATTCTTGTTGTTGTTGTTGTTGTTATGATGACCAGCAATGAATATAAAATTTTGAAAAGTACTAAGAGAACTACAGGAAGGGATAGAACTAGCCATGAAATCTGAAAGCTGGTAAAAAATCAAAACACAGAAGAGGCTGGAGAATTTTGTCCATTGGCTAGCATAAAATGGAAGTGCTCTACAATATTTACAATAAAAATAAAATACATTTGCATCACCTGATACTGTTGAAAATACAAAAATTAAATTCCTGCTTCACTTACCTTTTCTGAAATAATCCATGGAAGCTTTGGGAGACAACTCAAAACTGTTTCTGAGAATTTGCTATGAGGAACATCATGTTCCAAGAGCAGAACTTCATTTTCAGTGTCTTTGTCACCAATTTTACCAAGAGCCCGTACAAAATGCCCCTAAAAATAAAACAGATAATGGCTCAAATGAATTTTAAAAATTGTCAACATTGTTATTGTGAAATTATTTTATTTCAGGACTTATTATTCAGTAGAATTATTAAGTACAATGATCCAGCACAAGCATACATTTTTTTTCCCACATCTTCAAAATGCCCATTTTTTTGTGCTGAAGTTGCACCTAGTAACGGATTGTGGTGTTCTGGGGCCCATGACTCTGTGTAACTTGCAATTAAACTACAGCTGAATAAATATGGTATCTTTATGTAATTTATTCCAAGACTATTATCTTTCAATACCAATTTTCATTCCTTTCTTCAAACCAGAAAATCAATTTGAGGTATTACATTGAACTTCATTATTTCAATTTTTAATTTAACTTTTTCCAAATTAAATGAGTTTATTTTTTATACCGGGTATACAATTTATGCAGCAGCGGTCGTGCTTGCATTGCGTGGTCGGCCGGCACACTGTTGATGTGGGAGAGAGTATTGCGCGTTCTTCCCATGAGTAACCGACGAATCAGTTTCATTGCGTCTCTCGTTGCGGACTGACATTGATAATATGGTGTATAGTATTAAGCAACATGTATTCTTAGTCGAAACATATGCCAAATATTCATCCTACAGAAGATGCAGCTGTAAATATTGCAGACATTTTCCTGGTGTAGTGTTCCTAGCAGGTCCATGATAGAGAGATTAGTAAAAAATTTTGTAGTACGGGATCAGTTTTGGATAAAAAGAAGAACAGGAAACGGAGTGTATTGACGGAGGAGAAATTGGATGAAATCCATACACTGCAGAAGAACTTAAGGAAAATATTCGACAACTACCCCAAAAGAGCTTCGTCGAGTATTTTGAAACATGTTAACGAGATGTGAAGTTGCCTGCAAGCACAAGGAAGTCACTTTAAACATCTTTTGTGATTTAAGGTAAGAACAATTAATGTAATAACATGTATTAGTGACGAGAAATATTCGCAGTTCGCTGTTACTAGCGGCACTGAAACTGATTCGCCGGTCACCCACCGGAAGAACGCTCTCTCCCACATCAACAGTGCGCCAGCCGACCACGCAATGCAAGCACGACCACTGTCGCATAAATTGTAGACCCGGTACATGTAAGCCTTTTCATTAACTATACAATCATCTAAGTATTACTATCAACCCTTCAAGTGCAAGTTCTTTTATGTAATAAAATACAGTCCATTAGTTCATGTGTCACATCATAAACAAAATACCTGTAACAGTACCTATTACCAGGCCTGCACAAACCCTACGTGCCAGTTTATCACAGAACTTAAAATTTTCATGACAGCACATAGAATTTTCTCCATATTATTCTGTAACATTCTCAAATGGATACCATGTAGTTCCAATTTCATCATGCAGGTGGCAGCTTCAACAATGGCAAATAAATGTATATGAATGTTGCATCATGAAAACCTAAAATTCTACTAAATGTATGTGAACATTATTACTACCACTTCAGATATATATTCTGGCTCCTTGTTTAAGGGAGTGGTTCCTAAATTTAGAGAAAATCTGTGCAGACCTGTCCATTGCGATGTGTGTTCGTGTATACACACACACACACACACACACACACACACATATATATATATATATATATAAAACACACAAACACACTCTTGACAAATAGTTTTTAATGCAACCTAAATCTAAATAGGCTGCTATTTACTTACCAGTGGATACCTAGAATTGCGAGGCCATGAATCAATGGTCACAACAATCCTCTGGTTACTTAAAGTATCTGCCTGTCGAGTCTCTATCCTTACTTTTGGAATTTTTTTTTCAGCAGGCACAAATATATGACGTACTGACTGGAAAAGACAAATTATCACCTTTACCATGTTAATTAAAATTATGAACATTTACCTCTTAACAAAAATATAAAAACACTTGAAGTTCTGTTCTGCATGTCTTACAATAATTAACATTTTTTATCAACTGTCCAATATGGTTCCTTCTCGAAGGTATCACCACCTTGCCGAAGGCAATCTGCTGGGTGAGGAGGCTTGCATGCTCAAATGACCCTTAGGGCTATGCCGGCCGGAGCTTCGGCTCATGGTAGGGTCACCAAGCCAGACAGGTCTAAGGCGATGCGCTAGACTAAGAGTGATACCCTGGTCCTCCAGGTTGGGGGTTGGGTGTAAGGCTAACAACCTTTCACCTTTAAAAAAAGCTGTTACGAAAAAATCAACCAAGCCTCGGATCAGGACGGACTCTTTGACACGACCATGGCTAAATAAGGACATGAGATTTGGTACTTGGAACATTAGAAGCCTCTATAGGGCTGGGGCACTGAAATCAGTGAGTAGGGAATTGGAAAATTATAACTTAGACTTAGTGGCAG